ACAATGGCTTCTTCCCTTCAAATCTCTTAATCAAATGGATACTCAAGGGATATACTTGCTTTAATCCTCTGGCTGCCTATCCCATCAGACACTTGTGTTTGGTTGAGTTTTATAACTCTAGCCCGGGTCCCAGGAGGAGCCTCAGCAGCCATTTTTTCTCTTCAGGCTTCATAGAAACTGAATGAGAGCAAAGGCGGAGGCCTGTGGCTCCACTGAGCAGCACCTACTTTTCCACCTTCTTCTTATTTCCTCTGTCACTTTGTCCTCTCCTGGAGAACAGAACAGGCTTAGGAAAGGAATGAGGAGAGACAGAAAGGAGCTGGCATTGGGCTGCCCAAAGTAATGCTGGCTCAGCCCCAGCCACCAAGTCCAGTGTGTGGAGAAGCCGCCATCCAAGCTCTCCCGGTAGAGCTCTGGGGATGCCCACACCCTTTCCCTCAGGAGTGTGTCCGTCTAGAAAATGACAGCCAGAGACCTGTGTCGTGGTGTCCAGATCTCCAGTCTTCTACTTGGAGAGTGGGTCATGCCGTTGTCTTTCTCTGAGCCCCTGGACTCCTTCTCTGGATTCTCAATACTCTGTACTGATCGGCAAGTTTTGCGTAGAGCCACAAAAGGCTTTCTTGGGGGATAGAACTTAGACCTGAAATTTTAACTCAAACTCTTTTTAACATCATCTTAGTCTGTTTTAAAAGTTGAATTTGTTATATTTTGGTGTTGTTTCTATAAGTAACATCTACTTTAGGCCCTTCTTATGTAAGTTTTTGTCATATTTTTATAGAATTTTGGAGTAGTAACAAGGAGGTCTTCAACTACTCTGGGTTTTTCCCAAAATGTTTTCTTACTGAAGGAAAAAAAAATCAATGTGTTGATTATAATTATGTTCAGCTGGGATAGACAGAAAATAAAATTAAAACATTACCAGCATAATGAGACATTTGTTTCTCTGTTGTATAAAAATCTGAATCCCAAATTCATATATCCAATGCCATACAGAATTTTCCCACTGAGTGTAATAAGCAGCTGAAGCTCTACACCTGGAATTACAATCATGCTTTTCCTACTGGAACTGTCTACCTATCACATGATCTGTGTTCGGTCACCCTGTTGGGCCTTGCAACCAGCACTGCACAGTCCCTCGAGTCACCCTCCTATGCTCACAGTGCCCACTGCATCCCTTCCTCCCTTCTCCACATTCGCCAGCACTGCCTTAGTTGCTGACTTCTATGGAGCGTGCATATGTACCACTCCTGCAAATACATTACATACCATACCTCCTTTCCACTCAAATAACATTATTATTACTATTATTATTATTGATGTCACCATTTTACAGAAGAAGAAATTAAGGAACCTAACCTTCCCTGTGTCACATGTTGAATACCAAGACCAGGATTTGAACAAAACCCAGGACCCTGAAGCACCCTTTTTATGGTGCTGGGGATCAAACCTAAGGTGTTGCACAGAGTTTTTGCCTCTCCCCAGAGCCACACCCCTAGCCAAAAGAGCGCTCTTCACTACTGTAACTTCCTGTTTTAGCTTTCACAGATTCTTTTGTGATTACAGAAAATCTTAATTTCATCAGCTTCTCCTCCTACAGAGACAGTTACTGCCACACTGTACGGAGTGTCAGAGCCCACCCACCCCTGTCTAGCTGGCACTCACTCGGCTCCTATTACAAGTTCAGGTTTTGGTGGAAATAGCTGCAGGGTCCCCCAGGGTGAGCAGGGCCCTCTGGGCTCTCAGCTGAGTTATTGGACTGGCACCTTGATAAACAGCACACTCTCCTTTGCTGGCCCATTAAAGTTCCTTGGGATAAGTGATGGCTCTTTGTACCTGTAGTAGGAACCACAGGGCTTGGTGCACAACAGTCATCCTATGAACTGCTAATTACAGACTAAACTACTCCAGTTCCCTCCATCATTCTCCTAAGCAAAGCCTAGGACCAGGAGACCCCTTAACAGTCAATGGCTTTCCCGTGGCTTATTCAGCTGGCGGGGAATTCACCTCAGAGCAGGATCCGATTCATTCAGAGACCATACAGTTTGTGCCGTTCATCATGGTGAAAACTTGATCCACAAGGAAAGACCTGGATCAAGAAGAATATGAATACATCAGAGGAGAAAAACATCTATGACATGGAACAAGCATCCCAGGACATAAAATGTGTTCATTGTCTTTGGGAGTTGCTTTTAAAGGAGATAAACTAAGAAAATGTAAAAGCAGAAATCACATGGCCATTGTGTTTTGAGGGAAAGTCACTGGACAAATTTATGGGCTGTAAATTTTTTTTAAAAGATCACAGCAGTTTCATTTATCTTAGAAGGTTCTGGGGCTTCAGTGACTAGCTTCCAGGTGAAATCACCTTCGCTGGCCTTGGATCAGTCTCTTCTCTGTAGTAATCACCCCTTCAGACCCATACATTAGACAGAGCGACGTCCTTCACCACTGAAGAATCGCAGCCCAGAGGCTCGTGTTACCATGGAAACAGAATCACTTTGGAGTGCAAGACACCTCGCTTAGCTGGCACAATTATAAAGCAGAATACATTGAAGGGCCAGGAGGGGAATCAAATGTTCTGCGCACCAGTGTTACACTCAGCCTTTGGGAGAATAAATGACTTTCAATTAGAGTACTTAAATATCTTTTAACTATAATAATTATTATTAGAGCCCCAACAGAATTTTACTTGGAATAGAGTAAAAAGATGGATTTGCCAGTAAGGGGAGAGCTATAAATCTCAGACCAGAGCACTTCTATTGAACACACGAGGGAATCTGAAATTAATGATTTAATTGTGCATAAAACAAGAGTCTCTGTCCTTGTTTTCTGGCTTCCTGATTTGATCCTGTTGCAGATTTGTGAGGCTATCTTTATCTCTCTCTCTCTCTGTAAGTCTCTAATCCTGCTCTCTTAGCAGTGAATGTGTACAGTGAGCTTTGTCTTGTGTGGAGCGTGTGGTCTCCAATCCTCTGTCCTCAACTCGCAGGGCACTGCAACTCCTGCTGTCTCTCTCCTACTTTGGGGCCTTCAGTTGCTCCCCATCCAACGCCCAGCTCCTTTTATTATAACCTGATTCTGCCCAACCCTACATTCAGTTGCTGTCCTCTTTTATTTTCTCTTTGAGTTAACCATTTATTGTCTATGCTACTGTCTTAAAGAGCAAATCTACAAGACCAATACTGCTGGAAGGATTGACTTAGTAAAATTCTGGAAACCAAACAAGATTCCCTTACCTGTTTATCTCTTAAAACTGCTCATAGCCACTGGATTTCCTCACAGATTATCAAAACAAACAGCTGCAAAATGAACACACACACTTTTACATTACCTCGTAATCTAATAATAATCACAGAGCAAATGCATATAATGAAAAGGAAAGAAAAGTCTTTCATTGACTGGCTATTGATTAGAAAAGAGGACGATGATTTCAAAATGTTAGTTCTGGAGACCACAGACCAGCTCTGAGAGACACATGAGCAACAGTCACTGGCAGGCATCACTTGCATCCATTGGGTCACTTAGTTCTTGGTACCATAGCTACTGTTCTTTCCACTTTATGAATGATATAGAGAAAATTGGCTCAAATGGTTTTTAAACCTTTAATCCCAAAGTCACCACACAAGCTCTGATTTATGATTCAAGTTTAGTGTCCATTTGAGCTGCACCCCTTGGTAGGTGGCCCAGTGGAGCTCTGAGTGTGGGGGAGAAAACTCAAGGACCACAGGACAACAGTCCTGGCTGTGTCCCCCCCATAAGGACACTGATTTGTGTCAGACTCAGACTTGTTCATCCTTGGTCAATATGGGCGGCACCCTCTTGTTCCATCTTACGTACAGGGAAGGAAGTAGTTAACGTGCACAGCACATGTCCACAACCCTAGGGACAAAGACACTTGTGTTTTTATAGGAAGGGGTACTCCCTGTTACTGTGACAGGTCCAGATAACAGGGCCACATTCCTGTCAGTCAACTCAGCTTTCAAATCACCATCAATCTCAAATCTCCAGTCTTTTTGAGAGCAGGTACTGTCACATATCTTTTCTGTAGCCCCCAAATCATCTCACATAGTGCTGGGCTGGAGGTAGATATTGGCCACTCAGTTTAAAGTGATGTGACAGTGATTAAATCAAGCTGTCCTATGATATCTACTTAATCCACCATTTATAGACCCAGTTTTATTGTAATATCAGAGGATTCATCATATGCCTAGATATAGTTAGTTCAAGTTGCTTCATGAAAATACATTCATAATCTTGGTTCACCGTATCACCCAATTAGTTTTTATAAAGCATCAAATTATGGCTTCTTTTTATGACATTTAAGGAAATATTTCATTGCTCTAAATTCTACAGCTTGCCTTTCAGAGACCCTGGGAAACATTAGTGAAATAAATATTGAAAAATCACTTACCTAGTGCCTAACATTCCTCCTCTTATTCCTCTAGAAAATTAACAGAAATAGTCCCATTTTAGAAGGTGTGTACTTCCTGTACACTGACTTTAGGCTCACTAGCTCTCATACAACAATCCTATGAAACTGAATCTAATTACGACTACTTTGTAGGTGAGGAACAGATTCAGAAAGTTATAATAACTTACTCAAGTTAGAGTGCCAGTGTGGTAGTGTAGCCCATACAGGCCTCTGCCACCAATTTGCCCTTAACGACACGCCTGAACCACCACCCCAGCCACCGCCCTGGTGTGTAGTCAGCGCTGCGAGAACCAGCTTTCCTTTAAGCCTTCATCCTCTGTTTTATAAGTGGGAGGATGGAAAGAGGGACAGAGGGAGGGAAAAAGGACAGGGAAGAAGGGAAGAATTAAGAACAAAGAGGAGGAAAGGAAGAGAGATGAAATTTCTCAGTGCTAATGCACTTTTTGAATTATGTGAGGATAAAGTGAGATCCATCCAACATTTTTCAATAATCAACACTATTGAAAAATGAGCATCCCAAGTGCCCGTTTGGTCTGGTTTGATGATACTTGCTCTGTTTTGCGTTTTCCAGGAGAGGTGTTCTTGCAGATTAAAGGGCCACTGGAAGAGATTTATAAGATCTACTGCTATCAGCACGGCAAGGCACAGAGCATGCTGGAGTCCTGCGAGAAGGAGGAGGAGCTGACGCAACACATGGGTCCCTGTCTCCAGTCCTTGAAGTAAGCCAGGCCAGCCCAGAGGCCTCTATTCAGTGCCTGCAGGGCCGCAGGCAGAGAAGCCAGGAAAGGTCCCACACTATGCCAGGCCTGTGAGGCTTGCAGGTGCTCTGCTCTGAGGGCAGAGCTACCAGAAATTGGAGAGGCATTAAAGTGAAATCAGGAAAGACATTTCTCTAGAGAAGTTTTCCAGACTGGATTAGATTTAAAAAAAATTTTTTTAATAGATTGCAAATTGAAAATAAATTATTTACAAACATAAATGAATATAACAATAAAAACTATCCAAATAAAAATGAAGAATTTACAGATCAGTCATAATAGTTCACTGTGTAAAAACCAAGAAACTGGTGCGGAGAGTTTCCTGCTACCCTGCGCCGGCGGGACCAGTCCCAGCCCAGGCGCAGCGTGGGCCGGACCCTCTCCCAGCCCCTCGGGCCGCC